GGGGGGAAGGTTTAGCCAATGACTGGATTAGTGATGGGTCTAGTCAGGTGTAGCAAGGCCAGGACAAAATAGGCGAGCCACTAACATGGTCCAATAACTTATGAGCATTGTTAGTGTAGGAGACAACATCCAAATTGTCAGTTTAGCAAAATATGTTGGTGATCAATGTGCAAAGCATTTGTTAAATTCATGAAATTATATACACTTGAACACTTTTAATTTGATAACTTCAGGGCTCTACCCTGGTCAAATTACTCGGTGTCAAAATTATCCAAAGTGCCTGAATTTCATCAGCAAATTTGGATATTTTGTCAAGTTATCATGACAGTAAATAAAAGTGATTGGTGCCTAATTTGCATTTATTACTCTACCTTGTTGGTATCTGTTTATGTAAAGTAAAAAATTTTAGCATTAAAAGAAAACTATATTTTTCTACACAAAAAATGACTGGTAAATGAAAAGTTATGAAAAAATAAATACTGTAGTATTGTATTACTGTATAAAATGAAGACTTATTCACATTACTTGGCTTCCACTTGCACAAGGATATTCAAACAAACATTGTTCTACAGCTATGCCTGGGGCGGTGTTCTTTCAAACTGGTCAACAAGTTTCAACGTGTTGGACATATGAGCAATTTAACAACTTAAGTGAAGATGTAATTCAAACCTTTAGGTCTCAATCTAAAAAAAATTACTGAGTAATATGTTATCACCAAAAAGGTCTGAATTACTGAGAAGTCCATAATAGTGAAGAAAATATATATATATATATATATATATATATATATATATATATATATATATATATATATATATATATATATATATATATATATATATATATATATATATATATATATATATATATATATATATACACATATATATATATATATATATATATATATATATATATATATATATATATATATATATATATATTACTAAAGTAATATTCTTTAATACAATAATTTTTAATTACTTCGAAGATGTCATATTTATCATATAAACACATGATGACCAGACTGTGCCCACCCTAACTGGATCCAGCCCTAATAAAAGGAGTCTACATGTCTCCATATCTACTGAACCATTTTACACACACACTGCTGAGTGGGCCAAGCATGATCTTCACCAGACATCCTAATCAAGGCCAATGTACAGTACAGTACAGTACTGTAATTCTCAATGTTAGGGATTATAATACAAACACCTTACACACATGCAGGGGTGTGTGCAAGATGCTTTAGCTATTTATTAAAAAATGCCTTCAGCATCGCCCTGACAAAATTCAGGGCATTTATCCTAATCATCTTGCACATTACCCTATATGGGGTATCGGTTGCCTAGAGGTCAAATCTTGGTTTAGATAGTAAAAATATTCCATGGTACAGAAAGCAAAGACTGGTCAGGCATTATTAATACATGTGAATCTGGTTTTAATATGTACAAATGCATTGTTACACAATGTTAGGAGAACTCCGTCTGAGGCAAAGGCCTTTGTGTGATATAGATGAGGTAAGAGAGTTCAAAAATTGAAAAGTACAAAAAGGTGACACTTGAGAATCCAAAGAATCACTAAGGCTCCAACCTAAAGCAGGGAACAGAAGCCACAACCTGATCTTGACATCCACTTATTAGGCTCAATATCATTCATGATGGCCAAACTCATGACAATATTATACCTGTAGTACTAATATCTTATAAAAATCAGAAAAATCACATGATAAAGGCATATTTGTCTTTTACCCAGCTGCCTACAATAAAACGTTAACACTCTACTATATCCTATACTCGTGCTCCTTTTCTTGCATACCTGTATGGAGAACACTAGCAGTCACTACAGTATATTGACCTATATGAGGTATTAAGTATGTGATCATATTGAAAATGGTGATCCTATTTATTTTGCAAAACATGACCATGAAAGAAAAAAAAAAAGTAAGTGACTGTGGACTTTTCTATCACGGTATTAAGTACAACAAAAAACATAGTAGCCATAGTACTTTGTGGATTATGTATGACCAAATAACCAACTAATTACCATTAAACACGATTAAAATTCATTAAGTATCAGGATATGAAGATAATGTAAATGCAGAAATGAAATATTAAAATAACCCGTGCACTGACTGAATACTGTACTATGAAAAAACTGGATGTTCCCACACATCCGTGCGCAATGATGTACTTGGTACAGTACTTGCCTTGGAAATTAAAATGATGGAAAATACAAGGTAGTGAAGTTTCAAAGTGTCAGTTGCTTCAGTTTAACCAAGACTGAGTTTTAGTAACAACAACTGGCAGTAAGTCCAACCATAAGGTAAGTCAGGATTAATCACAAGCATTACTAAGCAACTATCAGTCACAAAACTAAGGCCAGAGGATAGCATGTAAACACTACAATTTGTACAGTGTGTTGGGAATTTGTTGTTATCTATTCCATCTCTCAGGGCCAATATCTCTTCAATATTAAACAAGACACAAGTCCTCATTCATAAGGGTCTCTCATTCATGTAAAGCACAGGGTGCCCAGCAGAACCATATCTAAGTGCAACTTTCCCTAAATCTCTACATATTTGAGAGAGAAAAGGCTAGACTGAAATTGTAAAAAAAAATTGTGGGTGACCTTAGAAGGCAAAAATTGCTAATCTCTCTACATACAGTGAAGTACAGTACATGTCATGTACTAATGCTCAAATCCTTGAACTCATTTCCCATAACTTCTAGGGTGGGAACTCTCAAGCAAGAAGGGTTAGTTTATAATTTGGGGCATCAACATGGTGAGTGACTTGCTTAGCACAACACAGCAAATAACACCAGTGTCCTTCGAGCTAAAAGTCCAGAAAGCTACCAAACTTTCTTACTAAATTTAGGCCTAGTTAACTAGAATGCTGCTCAAACCCCTCAACTAGTGAGTGTCTCCTTATTAAGGAGTGATCAATCACCTGTAAATATCAAAATTTTGTTGACAAAGTGAGTGTTAATGTGGCTACCAAACTGAAAAGTTCATCTCTAGCTTATACCAAAAATAGTAATACCTGAAGAGAATAAGTACTGACTCACAAGCATACCAGTGAGAAAAAGAGAGTAAAGCATGACAAAGAATATCATAATAATCACAGACTGTGATTATGGAAAACATCTACCTCTGAAAGGTAATGCAATAGCAATATAGTTGAAGGACCAATGATGGGGGAGGGTAATAACTAACATTTATCCACTGTAGTGTTTCCACAGACAACAAAAGCTGACATGATTCTCAGTCCATCTATATTGTTTTGGGACAAGTGTTTACTTTATTTTTCCTTATTTTCACAACATATTTACTTGATGTGGACTGAAGAAAGACATTCTTCTAACAGAGACAAGCATTAAATTGGTGGTCATCAGATGTGCTGTTGCTCAAGTTTGATAGCTATTAATTTTGTCTCCCCATGAATATATAAACCCTATTTCAGAACGTTATAATTCTATCTGTTCACAGACAAAAGCAGCACACTCAGCTACCTCGATATTTTCATCTGAAATAGCTAAGAGAATTGCAAGAGGACAATATAAAAAATACTGAAGTAATTTCCCCAGTATCATTCCTGACACCCGAGTGTTCATAGCAATGTGTGAAATGTCATTTACTGAAGACTGCAGAGGTTCAAGCTATCTTACAAGAACAACCAAATGATAGCAAGAAATTTAATTTTAAAATCTTATACTGCCACGGAGGACCAGGTTCTCCAAGTCACTACCTAACTCACACTTGATAATGATTTTTCATGATTCTAGATTAGATAATGGGCATCCTTATGTAATATCTATGGATTATTCATTAATACTCTACAAGTATTGCATCATTTTAGCTTCAAAGCAAGTACAAAATTCTACAATTTAATTAGGTACACATATACATATTCCATAATATATATATATATATATATATATATATATATATATATATATATATATATATATATATATATATATATATATATATATATATATATATATATATATATATATATATATATATATATATATATATATATATATATATATATATATATATATATATATATATATATATATATATATATATATATATATATATATATATATATATATATATATACACACACACACACACACTTTTCAGTCTTCAAAATTTGTGACGAGAGATATCATTAATCACCTCAGAATATTTCAGTTATAATTGAGGAAATTAGCTGTAAAAAAGAGCTATCTTTAGCTAAGAATTGCTGGTCATGTCACAAATCATCTAACAATACTCCAGTTACCTATACAGTATCATAACAACAATTGGCATTAAACCTCACACACACAGGAGGCTGTAGTAAAGGTACTCCAAAGTACCCCAGTTAAACATACAAAATGTGTAGTCAAACCACATCCCTCCCGACATATTCAACAGGTAAGGCAAGCAGGAGTATGAAAACAATTGCCACTTTGGAAGTATACCACTGTTTGTCCCACTGTGATACCAAGACAAAGATGGAGCTACATAACAACACTGATTTAACAGCCACTCCGTCTTGGACACAAAGAGAACTGGGTACGTAGCAATCCTAAAGCGACGTTTTGTGCGTGTTGACTCTTGTGAGAGGCGATGTTGTCAGGCAAGATGACAGGCGGTCAAGCAGTGTTATATGAGTGAACATAACCTACAGTACACTTTAGGGTTCTTCTTCTAACTGAACTTGTATATCATACTGTGAGTCAATGATGTTGTCCACAAAACTGTACTGTATAACATACTAAAACAATTAAATTCAAAAGGAACTTTCTGCCGATGTCTACAACTAAAATTACGATGAAAAAGAAACAAAAACAATAGATGATGTTCACCATTTAGCACTGTTCAGCAAAAACAAAGGCCTTGCAAGCCACATCCCTGACAGCACAGGCAGCGAGAGCATAGGGAATCAAGAAGCAGGGACCTTTAGGGGGACCCTGACAAGTTGTACATAAAATTGAGTTTCCTACAGTCCTTAGAGTTGTGTAGATCAAGGTGGTCAGGACGATCAGTCGAACACTGATGAGAACCTGGGGATGATGAGTATTCCCGTGACACTACACACAAGAATTCTGTGTGGTCTTCACTTCCGTAGGAGTACTGAGACCCAATGTTGATCAACTGAAAGAGATGAAAGGAAATGTTTATATCAAATACCATACTGTAGTTATCCCACTCTGTCATTGTTTTTAGTAAATGTACATTTTCATTCTTTTACTAAATCATCTCTGGGTATTTTGTATTAAAGAAAAAAATGCTACTTAAATATACAGTACCTCATGTTATAGTACAGTACGGTACGAAATAAATTTATATTTTACACTTTATGAACTTTTTGGTGGAAACAATCAACCATTTGGAGAACACATGATTACCCAATCAGATAATTATTCTCACTGGATATAATGTGTTCCTTTCTGTCACATTTCTAGGATTATCATAATGGGAATCTTATTCTCACATTTCAAGGGGCAAATAACTGGTACAGTCAGGGAAAAGGTGTTTCTATACCCACTGTGATATTCCCAGTCATTATGTGGCAGGGTCGCAGTAGTAGAGACGAGTGGGGATTCGACTGATTCATGGAATGTGCTTTGAGCCATCCCTTGGAGTTGTATATGGATACATGCATGATACATATTTTGACTGGGAATATTATAGGGGGTATAGAAACACCTTCCAACAAAAGACATGTAAAATTACTGAAAGGTGTTCAACATGGCAAAGCAGCTATCATTATAATAAAAAATAAAATAAATCCTTGTAATTTTGTGACTGGTCTATTCTATTATCTAACCATAACTCAATTTATGCACAGTAAAATAAGTACATGTACAAGTTGAACACATCTTATACTGTATAGCGTACAGTATATTACAAAACTAATTAGACTGATCATATTGCCCAGTTCCTATATGCATCAAATGGAATTCTTAACACATTACATAACAATGCAGTCTTACACACTTCATGATCTAGCTCATTTTGTAACTCTTAGTAACTTTTCTTAATATCCTACACCTATGACCCAAATTAGCTATAAAATTTCCCTTCATCTCCTTACTCTAGATTGCATGTATGAAGGCGTGTACACATGACTGTCGTGGAAAGACCTATCTTCCTCGGCGCTCCAAAGGAACGACCAGGGGTTGTCTGTAACCCCTACCCCCCCTACATACCAAGAAACCATTGCAAGGATTGTTGATCAACTCACCACAAGTGACATTTACTGAAATTTTCATCTTGATAATGAAGTGAAACAAATACAGTATCGACAATGGCAGCACCAGGTAGGGAGACACCACACTTAAGGGGACAAAAGGAGACCTGGCCAGAACCAATTAACAGTTGGCCGACAACACTCTGTGATCATCCAGCTGTACAACACCACAGCTGCATCAGGGAGGCCGACAACACTCTGTGATCATCCAGCTGTACAACACCACAGCTGCATCAGGGAGGTAAACAACACTCTGTGATCATCCAGCTGTACAACACCACAGCTGCATCAGGGAGGCCAACAACACCCAGCTGTACCACACCACAGCTGCATCAGGGAGGCCAACAACACCCAGCTGTACCACACCACAGCTGCATCAGGGAGGCCAACAACACCCAGCTGTACCAGACCACAGCTGCATCAGGGAGGTCAACAACACCCAGCTGTACCAGACCATCAGGAGTACGATCAACCACAGTTTAAAGTATCACACTCTTGTTAACCTGTACAGTATGTTCACCACGTCTTTCCTCCTCTTGTTCATTATGTTACCTGACCCATTCTCCAATATCTTCTTGGCTGCAATATTTTCTCAATAAACCATTATTATTATTGTCATTACACACACTCTCCCAGTTAGAACTTTTGCTACCCGAAGAGTAAATACAATAAGGTCCTGCTGAACGAATAACTAATACAGTATTACATGACTGAAATAGGAGTGGGGCTAATCATACATTGTAAGTGGCTGAGTGACCAGCAGGAAAAGTGTACAGTACTTGTATACTAGTTTCTATACTCTGAGGCAGTCAGTTGACTCACCCTGGCTAGCCAGTGAGCTTAGACATGGCAATATTTATTTACCATCATGTTCAATCAACAAAGCTAGGCCAACACAAGCAACATATATCTTCAGCTCTGGTAAGTAATGTGCAGTAAACTAAAACAATGTTTTCTCTAATTTGGTTAGGTTTTATAGTCGAAATTCTTTGGGTTGGAGCACCTCCAAGTTCACAACATAGGTTTTAGGTTAAAAAAAACTGGGTTGGAACCCATCTCAGCTTTTAACATGAGATGCTGGGCCCATTGAATGAGAATTCAACAAACAAGCACTTTTTCAAGGAGGCATATAGCTTGTTAAGCAGGACCTTACTGTACTCCACATCTTTAAAACATTGTAAAAAAAACAAAGGTACATATGTCAAGTGTTTTACCTGCTCAAACTTCCAGCCATCAGACATTGTTGATACAAGCTGAGTCAATTCATTTTCGTGACACTGGAGAACTCTGTACATGTGTTTCTTGCCTGCCTTTGGTGGCCGGTTATCTCTTTGGCTGATACGTTCTTTCACTAACCTAATTAATTCTGTGATGTTATAGAACTCTGCTTCTTCTAAAATACCTGTAAAAAACACAATAAAACACTAACATACACTATATCACAAACTGGGCAAATTACAAATACTGTACAGTAAATCTGATCTTATCAGCTTAAACATAACAAACACTACAATGGCATTAGGTGAAGGCAAATATTAACAAATTGACTTAAGGTTCTTTTAAACTGAGAGAACAAAATAATTATGAATCAAGACATAGTTCAGATGCTGAGCTTCCATAATACAGTACAGTAGTGTACAATAAGGACCTTTAGGGTTGAAACTACATGTATATTCAAGACTTACCTATAGTTGTCTTCACCTTGACCCAATCAAACAGGGAGGTACTACCGCCTGGGAAGATATTGGAAGCTTAATGTGTTGTCTAATGGTTGACCCTACTACCATCTGGCATAAAAAAAATTGTGACCAGGTCCCAGGTTGCTGATCTGACTTTCTGCCTCATTTACACACAATTGCAGGGTCTCAATTGTTTCTCTTACTTTGACAACACAACATACATACAGTACTGTATATCATTTCCCACTATTGATCTTTTTTTATGGTCCTTTATTATTATCATTATTACCCTGTATTATTATTATTATTATCATATTTAATATATTTTTCTTTCTTTTTTGTTATTAATTATTATTATTATTATATTTTCGCCCCCACGCCCTGATGTGGGTCATTGACCTGTCCTCTGGTGGGATAATCCCATAAAAAAAAAAAAAAAATCTTTATGAGTCACAAGAGTAAAGGCTAGGTTGGGGCAGCCATTTGATCTGCAACCTTACAAAAAATATTCTACCACAAACTACGGTTCTTATAATTTTACTGTAGACTGTTGGTAATTAGGCGTTTGATCAGACATATACTGTACAGTACTGTACAAAGTACAGTACAATAACATGACAGTTTATGATCACCAATTTCTGTATACTGAGTAAATGCCCGATAAGTTGTAGTTAATAAAACTGTACGAGGACAATACTGTATTCACTTTACCTTCTTCTGCTAAATCCTTATTCATTACTAATTTCCCATGTCGTAAGTAATTTAGCACCGGACCAAAATATGTAGGATCTCTGTCAATTAAGTAGGCACCAGTTTCATCCTGTAGAGAAAAAGTGACACCACTTTATAAGTACAGGGTATGCTACTGTAAGTCTACATCAAGTCTACAAGAGGTAAGTAAGAATCCATTTCTTATTTACCAGAGACTAATCTTGCACACACTTCATAATCACTTCATATATTATTTGTAATTCGTAACCCATTACCCAAATATGTAACTGTATATTTTCAGCCTTCTGGCTGCCAAGCTCTTTCAATAAACCGTTAATTATTATTATTATTATTAATTACAGTACTGTACTGCATAGTACGTACATAAATAGTACCTGTAATACACCGAACCCTCACCAATTTGATATCGTCGGGCTTTTGGTTGAACGAACTAGCCCAAATACACATAATCAAATCATACCAACATAATGAAATTACCTCAAAAAGAAAAACAAGAAAACAAAATGCAGCCCGGGTGTTGCCTGAAACAAACAAAGGTAATAGTGGAGCAGACGGCTAACATGAGAAGGAGTTTTTCAACTTCATTCATTTTTTCCACAATGTTCTTTGGATGATAGCAAGTTATTAAAACGATATGACAACTTTTTAATTTACTCACAGATGATCTTCTGGAAGAGGCTCACGCCTGTGACCCCAGCTCAATAGCCTCTTCTCTACTCAGACGGTGGCTGCGTGTGGCGGATATTTGTGCCCTATAATTATATACTTGTTGTTGATTTTTCCAGTATTTATCTAATTTTGCTTCAAACTTTTCCACCGTCTCCACATTCACTACCCACTCAGGTAACCCATTCCAGTTGTTGACAACCCTACTCGGGAACGAGTGTCTTCTGAGATTTAGCCTCACTCTTGTTTTGTAGATCTTCTTTGTGTTCCCCCAGGTAGTGTCATCCTCCCTCATCTGGAAAATTCCTGCTGTACATGCCTGGTCATATATGCCACACACTATCTTGTATGTTTCCACTTGGTCCCCACGAGATCTTCTGTACGCCAGTGTCGGTAACTGTAATTTCCTTAGTCTTTCCTCATAAGATAAATCCTTGATCTGTGGTACTAATTTGGTAGCCCTCCTTTGTACATTCTCTACTGCTTCAATATCCTTAATGAGATATGGGCACCAAATTTGATTAGCATACTCAAGGTGTGGCCTAACCAGAGCAGTGTACAGAGCCTTGAATATAGGTGCATCCAGATGAACAAAATTTGTATTTTTTTTCTCTATTATCATAAATCACCTGTAGAGGGCAGGGCATGAAGGTGTTAGCCGTCTGCTCCACTATTACTATAATATTAGGTGAAATACACATATGTGAAATTATTAGTTGGAACACATGCTGGTGTGTCTCCAGCCTCTACCTCACACTACTGTTTTCTGAAGCAGAGATTTCGAGAATAAGGAAATCACATCTATTACAAATCATCTAGGTCTTATAACCCTATACAGGTAATATATTACGGTTAATATTCGTCCATTGGCTGTCCGCAGTGATGTTTACCTGAGATTATAATCCTCACTTAAGAGTCCGTTGTCTCCTCTTTGTAGCTTAGGTTAGGTTAGGTTAGGTTAGGTTAGGTTGGTTCTTTTGGTATGAGAATGGGTTTTACTTTTGTGTATTTTGGGTGTGTTTTACTCAAATTTGCCCACCATTTTTTTTGGCAAATAACCGCTAATTTGCACAAGAAATGAAGGACGGATTGATTAAAACTGAAAAACGTAAAAAAATACTATTATCGTACCAAAACCTGAGAACAGCCAATTGACGAATATATACCAATATTACACCAAACGGAATCATCTAATTCATAATATTAAAAACTGACCTCTTATACGAGATGTACCATTAAACTGACCTCTTATACGAGATGTACCATTAAACTGACCTCTTATACGAGATGTACCATTAAACTGACCTCTTATACGAGATGTACCATTAAACTGACCTCTTATACGAGATGTACCATTAAACTGACCTCTTATACGAGATGTACCATTAAACTGACCTCTTATACGAGATGTACCATTAAACTGACCTCTTATACGAGATGTACCATTAAACTGACCTCTTATACGAGATGTACCATTAAACTGACCTCTTATACGAGATGTACCATTAAACTGACCTCTTATACGAGATGTACCATTAAACTCACCTCTTATACGAGATGTACCATTAAACTGTGTAAAACAAGACCCCACCTTGTCCGTGTTGAGCTCGGGGTCGTCTTGTACCAGTCGACACAGGAAGGAGTTGGGGTCCCTGCATAGTGTGGTTCTCGTGGTAAGAAAGTGTGTTCCCCCAACATTTAATCTGATCCACTCCCTAGATCTAGTTGACCCTGATACCTCGCCATTAACGATGTGATCATCTGTCCGAGGTGACGACGCCATGTTTGACAATTGTAAACATTGAACCAAAGAGTTACGTGGGTAAAAAGTTTTAGTAACTCCTATTATAATTTACCTCTATAAAGATGTTATAGATAATTTTGAAGCTGTAAAATATAAATCACATTATATTCGAATATTCTTATAGTTTTCCCAGTTAGCTATTTATTCTGTCTATGAAACATATAGGTCACCGCATCCTTAATTCAGGAGAGTTTAATTTCTATTTGATTTCCGTCATTTGAAATTATATTTATTTTTAATCATTGAGTTAACAATACAGTAGCGTTATTACGTTTAGCATTAGATTTATCATCGTCAATTATTGTCAAAATTATTATTATTATTTTTTCATTTTCGCCATTCAACAGCAGCTTAATGTCGTCCGGGAGGTTGGTCTTATGGTCTACAGTAGCCAGTTTTAGTACAGGAGGAATCGGAAACCTGAAAGTTCGAAAGGGTCACACTGGATAACACTCTTCTCACGTGTGTCTAAGCCGAGGCTCGAACCATTGACATATTGGTATGTCGATCACTTCGTTCCTGATAACGTTTTCCAAAAGTGCGGTACAACCCAGCTAGATCCTCTTGGCCATTAATTAGCTTGTCTGGTCACAGATACAGTATGTTAATCGAGACTGTCGGTTGATTGAGAACTTATGCGAACAATCTCCTGCGTTTAAGGAAAGACGATTCGAGACAACGCTGACATGCCTTATGTTCTGAGAAGAGTGTACTGTATGTCCCAACGGGATGAAGAAACTGCACTAGTTGAGACTGTGTGTGAGAAGGACCAAGGTGTGTATGTTGACAATGAGCTGAAGTTCTCGGGCCATTGCGAGAAGAAGGTAAATCAGGCAAATAAATTATTGGGTCTTATAAGAAGGTCGTTCAGATATCTAGACGGTCCGTCCCTCGTAACGATCTTCAAGAGTGAAGTGCTTCCCCAACTGGAGTACTGTCACCCCATCTGGTCCCCGAGATATGCTTGGGACTGTCAGTTGGTTGAAAATGTTCAAAGGAGGGCCACCAGACTGGTGCCTGCACTTCAGCACCTCAGCTACCCTGAGAGATTGGAGCGCCTGAACTTGCCTAGCTTATACGGTACTACAGACGGTCAAGGGGGGACCTAGTTGAGGTGTATAAGCATCTCAGGGGGCACTACTCAGTTGAGTGTCCTCACTTGGAGCTGGCGGACGCTCGCCCCACAAGGGGTCACAGCTCAAGATTGAAGAAGCCGCAAGTCCAGAAAACTGTGAGGACAAACTTTTTCGGAGTGAGGGTTGTAAACTCTTGGAGCAATCTTCCAGAGAGTGTTGTGACGGCACCGAGTGTGAGCTCTTTCAAGACAAGACTTGACCAACACTGGAGCGGGTTCAGGTACATTCAGGAGCCGGTGCATGCCCAGTACTTGCCAACAGTGCGTGACAGAGACGTGACCGATCGCCCGGGGGGCTAACAAGCCGATCAGTGGCGAAGAGGAGAAAAGGAAAAGTATGAGGACAAGGGCGGATCCAGGGGGTCCTGACCCCCTTTTCATCAGAAAATTCTAATACTTTTCTCTAATACAATATTGTACTCAGGCGTTTTTTTTTGTACAATAATTACTATTGATCTCAGAATTTCTCCTAATATCAAGTTCTTCTTGGGACATCCCCCCCCCCCATTTGATATTCCTGGATCCGTCCCTGAGGAACAAACTGTCAAAGCTAAAAGTGAGAAGGGTGTTACATGTATCGGCTAGTAAGCTGATAAGTGATGAAAATAATAATAATAATAATAATGATAATAATAATAATAATAATAATAATAATAATAATAATAATAATAATAATAATGAGCCCCTCTAACAGCGTGCACCCCAGTGCTAAGAGTTATGCACCGAGCTTGCTGGCCCCCTTAAAATCTTGTTCTGCAGATGCATGACGAACAAAAGATCCCAATGACTGGAAAATGTAAAGTACTAGAGAAAATTATACAAGATCCATGATGGATCATCTACGAAACAACCTTGTAAAAGAATGCTTGACACAATTACTAAAAGTGATGGATGTTTGGACACAGCTCCTGGAGCGTGGTGGCAATATAGACAATATACTGTATAACTGGACTTCGCTAAAGCTTTCGACAGCGTACGCCATGAGAGACTAAAAACTAAACTGGAAGGGTGCGGAATTTGGGGGTGTGTGTCTTAGCGTGGATCGAAGTCTTTCTTCATGGTAACACACAGTGTGTGGTGGATAATGATGCGAAATCGCCACAAGTACCCGCGATAAGCGGGGTACCGGTGTTGTTTGTTTCATAAATGATATGCCAGAACCAAAAGCCATACACTCCAGTGACTCCACCATACAAATGTTCGCAGTTGATGCTAAGTTAGGCAAATATTTAGAAGTTGCCAACACCTAACTTACTATTGAAAATAAGTTTTATAATGTAATTCATCGTGTTATATACAATTATGGCCTTTATTGCCGTAGGTGGGAAATGAGCCTTTATTGATATATTAAAAACAAATGCAGGGTAAAAACAGCAAAAATCTGACGAAACGTAACTTAACCTAACCAGAAATACCCGACCTAACTTCCTAGCTCCCCTGGATCCCCGTGTAAGAAACTTACCTTAAATAAAGAGATACAGGAGAAAATTTCCAATGACCTGCTCTTTCTCTTAGTCAGTGTCTCTACCACAGTACTACGTAGGGCGATCTACAGAGTACTGACGCTATGAAACACATTTCGGACACTTTACTGACGAAACGAGAACACCAGGTTAAGAAGTCAACAGCTGCGGCTTCGTTCGCCAAAACGCGCTAAATAACTCGCCAGTCAGCCATCTTCCAACTGCCGGCTCATCGTGACTTGCGCTACTTGGCCAATGGAAGAATGAAGCAAGGAACTGTTTTTAGAACCAAAGGAAGATAAGTCTTTGTCTTGGAACGAAGCACACGTGCACGTTAGCCACTTGGGCTGTTGGGAAGTCGCCACATCTCTGTACACACTGTTGGCATTGGCAAGTGCTGTATTGGCTCCAGGCAGAATGCACCTGTACCTGCGCCAGTGTTGGTCAAGTCTGGTCTTGAAAGAACTCACACTCGATGCCCTTACAACACTGGCAGATTGTTCCAAGAAAGTCTGCCCTCACAGTTTTCTGGACTTTTCTTTTCACATACAATATGTGCTATTGTATTTTGTGATGTGCTATGTATTTTTGTTGTTTATTATAGCTATTTTTGGCAGACTAATGAAAAATTGGAACCTATTCCCATTGTTAAATCTATCATGAAAACGAAATTCCTGAAAACAAATCTACTTCAGTGCTATCCATGTCACATACTGTGCATATGTACAGTCGGGGTCAGAAGTTTGCTCCCTCCCAAAATGAAGCAGAATCGATCCCAAACGAGATAGGTTAAGTCAATTTGGAGACTCATTCCCGTGACACCGTTTCACAGCAGGGAGCGAACTTTGTGACTGTACAGTTGCCTCAAAGAGTTCCTTTGCCCCCTGTGATGGTGTCTAGTTATGTGGCATCTCGCAATACTAGAATACTATGAATGAATCCACAGTATTCTTGTAATGATGGACCTGATTGGTGGAAAAGGTTTCTAGGCAATTTCACTTGGCAATAAAGATAAATAAATGTTAGAATTTAAACTCAACATAAACAATACACGCATGATAAGGAAAATACCAATATGAGTGATAAAGCTTTATAAATAAAATTTATTTGCGAAATTTGTCTAATTCATTATTATCGTACACCGGGAAGCTTCTTCACACAAGGTCACTGGCGCTTTGGTAAATCACACAGTTGATCATATAATGGTTATAAGTAAATCATCAGCATTCATAATATGTGGAGATTGAGTTATGCATGATAGGTACTGTATTATAATACAAAGCAATGTAACAGTGAAAGGAATGATATATTATAGAAATATGAATATAAGGATATATGCCCCTGAATACACTTAGCATGACTAGGAGTTCAGTTAGGTTAGTCACCCCACACCAGTAGATCCCTACCCACTTCATTCCAACCTCATTAAATGACTTACCTGTTTGGTGTCTCTTAGATGATAGGTTTCACGGGAATTAAACCACCTGCTCCTAACTGCCTGCAGTACGACACCTCAGTTATCCAGAGAGATTAGAGCGCCTGCAACTGCCTAGCTTATACTACACACGGGCAAGGGGTAACCTAATTGAAGTGTATAAACATCTCAGAAGGCGCTACTCACTATAAAAAAAAGTGATGAGAAAAGATGCCCCGCCCCCTCTTCAACAGTTACAGCTGAGGCTGTTGCAAATCTGTCCAATTTCGTCGTGTAGTTGTAGTGGATTCCTCCCCTACAAACGCCATTTGTCGCTGAGTAGCCGACCCTCTTCGAGTTCCCCAGTGTATGCCTCGTGGTCAAGGTCGGTAACCAGGTCAACTATCAACCCACGCCTACCCCCGCTATATAAGACCTCACCCCGCCGTGACCTACCTCTTTCTACCTACAGCCACCAGCAACACCTCCTCCGCTCCTGCCTGGTGGCCCTCGCTCCCGCCGGCGACTATGCCGCCCTTCAAGCTGCCTGTCCTCCTCTGAGCTCCCTCACCAACCAGCTCTCTCCTACACCACGCTTGGACTCACGTTGCCACCCCCCAGCACCAAGCTGCATTTTACATACAATATAATATGTATAGAGAACACATTGTGAGTTTCCTTTCTCCAACCCATCCTGAGTGAGAACACAAACATCCTGAACCCCACAATACTATATGATGCAAAAACTAACATTTTAAACGATCAGACTCACGTTGAAATATTATAAGGCCGTCAGCAGAGGCGGCTAACGATCAGTTGGTGAAGAGGATAAAAGTAAAAGCAATATGACTTCAAACCACTTCATATTTCCCGCCTCTGCTGACGGTTAAGCGGCCAAGTTCTCCAGTCTGTTGCACTCATCCACAAACTATTAAAAAGTCTACTTACTCAAGTATGTGACACATCACATGCTTCCT